AGTGGTGTGCTGAGTGCTGATGGATGTTCTTAAGCACAAGAAGGCTGCAATGTGTATTGTGGAGAAAATATGTGTCTTGGATAAGCTTCGTTCAGGCATGAGTTAAAGCGCGGTTGGCTATAAGTTTAGCACTAATGAATGAACAGTGTATAGTGTGTCTTTAAACAGAAACACATAACAAAATTGTGTATGTACTGACTATTGGCAAAATATTGTGGCCAGAGGTTTGTAGGAACCTAACCCTGTATTTTCTCTAGGAGCAATTGTTCAGTATTTGCTAATTCAGTGTTCGTAGCAATTATATAGAACATAAGTACTACAAAAAATGAGAATTTACTGACCTTAGATAGCAATGTTTTTAGTTAAAACTTTGCTTAGAATTGTACAATCTGAAATAGTAGGAGTTAATTTGTTCATGAGTACTCCATACCATTCTGACTCAAATTTAATAATTTATGTCATAATCATCAAACTCATTCTGCCTATTTACATTTTTACTCTAGAATGATCAAGTCTATTCTTTTTTTTTCTTTTATTATTCATATGTGCATACAAGGCTTGGGTCATTTCTCCCTCCTGCCCCCCACCTTACCACCCACTCCGCCTCCGATCAAGTCTATTGTGTAAGTGATGAAGTACAGTGTAGTTTGATGTGACTCATACATACAAAGGCATTACTGCCTAAGCTATTGTAGCTATCTTGGAAGCAATTCAAAGAAACTATTTTTGTCAGTTATTTCTTATGACAAAAAAATGTGTTCAAAACCACTCCATGCTAGGTGTGGTTACGCCATTATCCCAGCACTCAGGAGGCTGAGGCAGGAGGACCATGAGTTTGAGGCCAGCATGAGCTATATAGCAAGACCCTGTCTCAGAAAACTAAAACCAAACAAACACACAAACAACACCCCCCAAAGAATGTGACAGAAATGGAGTCTTGAATGTCATATGTGGCATACATTAGCTGTACGCTAGGAAGTACTCTCAGGCTTAAGAAACATCTGAAAAAAATTAGTAACTAATTTCATCTTTTTTGAGGAAAAAAGATACTTACTATTGAATTGCCTGTGTTTTGAATTTATTTATATAGCGTTATTAAACCTCCCAAAGAGCTTGTTGAATTGCTTGAAAATAAATTCCTGTGCAACGTAACGTATTAATTCTCCCAAACAATAAGCCGAGCTGTACGTTTTCTGTGGGGAGCCATAGAAAGAAAACTGGGCTAAAAGTCAGGAGCCCAGTGCTCTGTTCTTGAACGTCACATTTAGGCTTCTTTAGAAGAAGCAGTTGGTCAGCTTCAGTGTTGGTTGGTGCACGAGTGGAATAATGAAGTCCCTGAACCTTGCTACAAACGTGCTACCGTTTCTAAGGTGGCCACAGAACAAGTGAGAATTTGCTCTTCCTCCATTTCGCCCTCCGCTAAGTGTATGTGGCAACTGAATTAATCCTCCCAACAGACACGGGAATTATTCTCGTGTTCCAGGAGACAACTGAAGATAGAAAGGTTCATTGCTTGCCCATAATCGTTCTGCTAAGGGCTTGAGGGTGCCAAAATTTAAACAGTACACTAACTTCATTAACTCAATTGCATGAACTCATAAGTACACTTTGTTCATGTGTGATTTCAGGCATGACTTGAACTTCTCACAGGTTTGAAATTCTCAGGTGACTGCGTAAAATGCATAAGAGCATATACCCTTAATAAACAGCTTTAAATATGTTCCTTGCATCTCTCAAGAGAGATGATTAAAAGAATGACCATGTGGGCTGGGGATGCCGCTCGCAGTAGAGCTCTTGCTTAGCATGTGCAAGGCCCTGGGTTTGACCCCCCAGCACTTAAAAAAAATAGTAAAAATAAGGAAGGAGCTGGGTGCCATGCCAGTGGCTCATGCCTATAATCCCAGCTACTTGTGAGGCAGAGATCAGGAAGATCGCCATTCAAAGCCAGCCCAGGCAAATAGTTCAAGAGTCCCTATCTTGAAAATACCCAGCACAACACAGGGATGGAGGAGTGGTAGAGTGCCTGCCTAGAAAGTGTGAGACCCTGAGTTCAAACCCAGTAATGGCCAAAAAAAAAAAAGAAAGATGGAGGGGATCAATTCAACTATGATATACTGTGAGAACTTGTGTAAACGTCACAATGTACTCCCAGTGCAACAATAAAAATGATACAATAAAAAAATGAAGAATCATTAGATAAACAGAACAAAGCATCAGTAAAAACAATGTAAAGTAGACCTAGAAATCCAGGGGAAGCTTTTTTTGAGTTGTAGAAAATAAATATGAGGTATCAGATGTGGAGGCCTGAGAGTCTCATGATTCTTGACTCGCATCCTAGATGCAATCAGCTCGTGTTAATCAAATGTCACATGCCCAGATGACTGGGGTGGTGATGGGGGAATGTACCCGCCTGTTGCCTCAGTAATAGGCACCGTCCTCCTTCTTCCGGGAAACTGAAGGGGTGGCTGAGTATTGGAGGCCTGGCAGACTCACTGCTTCCAAGAGAAGCGTTCCCAAACGCAGAGCCTGGCGACCCAGGGCCTTGTGCAGGCCTTGCAAATGCTCTACTGCTGAGCTATGTATGTCCCCGTGCAAGAATGGATTTTTAAGTAGTTCCAGCTTGGATTTTGGTTTTAGGTAAATTGATCACATTCATCAAGGGTACAAGTTACTGTGGGAAACTTTTGTTTTAAATGCAGAAGAAATTCCATCAGATTGTTATAGAAACTGACAGTTTTCAAGCCCTCATTGAAGACAATTGGCAAGTGTGAAGAATTCCCACTTGCAGCCTTCTGTCAACTATGCCCACATTATTGCTGGGACTAGATGACCTGCCCAATTAGTCTGTTTCTTAATATGAGTAAGCCCTCCATACTCAGTAAGCTACCCCTGTGCCTTATTTCATGTGAAGGGCTCTTTGGTTCCTGAGTTTGAGCCTTTTCCTCCTCAGGCTGGAAAAAGAAACAAAAGAGTCTCTCAGGATCTTGGCCCCAAGTACCGTGGTAATCCCATGAGAGCCAAGAGTCTTCTTCCATCCTTCTGGAGCTGCCCCACACCAAGTATATGGGCCTGTGTTTAGAGAGACACGTGCAATAACCACTGGCTCACTAACTGACTTGTACATCAGGGACTTACACCCTCCAGTGCACAGGAATGCCTGGAAACGCTAAGCCTAGGCAAGTCAGTTGGGGCTCACTCATGGAAACCCAGTATTTTTGCAAAGCCTAGCATGTAACAGATGCTCAGAATAGCCAAGTGTGATATCTTACACCTGCAGTCCCAGCACTCAAGAGGCTAACACAGGAGGACTGCAGGTTTGAGGCCAGTCTGAGCTATATAGTGAGACCCTGTCTCAAAAGAAACAAATAAAACATACTCAGAATAATATTTACTTACTGATAAATGCCATTTGTATCAGATTAAATATAATTGTCTCCTGGTATCTGTAGGTCATTGTTTCCAGGACCCCCATGGGTACTAAAATTGGCAAGTGCTGAAGTCCGTTATATAAAATGGCACAGCATTTGCTTATAACCTACACATCTTCTCCCATATATTTCAAGCCATCTCTAGATAACATAAAATAGCTAATGCAACGTGAATGCTATATAAATATGGCATCGTTCAGGGAATAACGACAAGAAAAAAGTCTTTATGTTTAATATAGACCCAATTTTGTTTTTGCAAGTATTTTTGACATGTGGTTGGTTGAACCCATGGACGTGGAGCCCATGGAGGCTGACTGAGCAGCACATCATCTCAATGCACAGTTGGTGCTCAAACTCTTGGATATGTTCCTGGAATAACTTTGGTTCAATTGAAAAAACAGATTTGACTTGCTCATTTCAACTCTCTTTAAAGTTTGAGGATTACCTGGATGAAGGAGTTGTTGTTAGCTGCTAGTTGAAGACAAACATAACATGCATGTTTCCTACCATTTTTCCTTTACTCATTCTCTGTGTCTAAGACAATTCATGGAGAAAACAAGATTACAACAGGCAGGACAGGGAAGTCATACAGATACAGATTGGGTTACACAGACAGCTTTTTATCTCTCTGTGTTCTTTGCCCCCTACCGTGGCTCTTTTGAAGGCTGGGATGACTTCAGTCCATTATTTGCATGATCTTTCATTTAGATAGTTCACAAACAGATTATGTCCTTACATGGTATAATTTTCTGCTTGGCTCTGATGAAACTTCTACTTAGGGAATTTTCTTCCTTCCATTTGCAAACCAAAAGGCCACATAACACCATCAAAGCCTATGAGAAATAAAACGGACCAACATTTCGTAGAGCAGGAACACTGCAAAACTTCCACGAAACAATTCACAGCCAACAGCATCCTGTTAGCTCTGAGGTGTTGGAGTGAGTCTGTGCAATATGGAAATACCATCAGCACAGCGTTCATTAGGTGCAATCCCAACACCCCTGAGAATATACCACTTTGCTCTGGGTTTTGTTTCATCTTGAGTCAGGAACACTGTATGCAACCCGGGCTGACCTCCAATTTGCGATCCTCCTGCCTCAGCCGCCTGAGCACTGGGATTACAAGTGTGCACCTCTTTCCCCAGCTGGTGCTAACTTTAACATTCTTCTGTGGAGTTTCTTCATTCCAAAAAGAAAGGAGTAACTGATTTGCGCAATTCAAAAATAGACAGAAAACATGCAAAAAAGAGAAAGGACAAATGTCTAGCGTTGTCTGAACTGTTTAGAAGGAAAGGCAAGATTCTAGTGGAGAAAATGTCTTTAATATTGACTTTTAATAAAGAAAGTAAAGATCCGAGTAGGACATAAGAGCTTGCCTTCCAAACATTAGTGTAGTGTAAATCGGAGTTTGACGCTGCCTTTGAAAAGCTGTTGGAGGGGAAGGGTGGTTAGTAGCTTCTACTGTCCTGCTGCTGCCTCCATCCATGGTCTTGGAAATTTACAAGGACGCATAAGGCAGTATCGGGTGGAGAGCTCATTTCCCTCTCAACTCTCCTAAGTCCATAATGGGGGAATGGCCAGATCTTGCCAGCGCAGGAAATCCGAGTGGAGCCCCAACGCCCCATCCCCGGAGGCCGATAGAGATGTCCCTCGTCCATCCCGGGAGGCCGGCACCAGGACTCGACCGAGGGTCGCCAGACGCGCCGACTTCGGCGGTTTCCGGAGGGGCCAGGGGCGCGCCTGGTGGAAGGTGAGAGGCGGAGTTGCTCGGTTCTGGGCAGAGACCAAAGGAATGAGTAATTGGAAATTCGGGAACGTAGCCCCTTACCCCGAGCCCTTTAGCTCTTTCACCCCAAACCCCCTGCGGAGAGGCGAAGGGACTGGAGACAGGGAGACGTGGTGGAGGGAAGAGTCACGTTTCGGAGAGGGAAGTGAAATAGAGAGGGCGGCACCCGGGGGGGACCTGTGCGTCATTGAGGGACCGTGGAGAAGCCAGTGCAAAAGGAGAAGAGGGAGCGAGGAGCGGCTGGGGCGCGAGCTCCTGCCTTCCCCCGCGGCGCCCGGCCGCTGGCAGCCTCGTGCGCTCGCCGGGGTCGCCGCTCTCCGGTCCCGCGCGCACCATGTGGCAGGCGACCCGGCCCTTACCCCGCGCGCCCTGGCGTTGGGCGCTGGCGCTGCTGGCCCTTGGCGGCGTGGAGCTGTGCCACGCCGGCCCGCAGCCCGCGTACCCCGCGCGGCCCAGCGCCAGGAACAAGTAAGTGCACGTCCCCTCCGCTCGCCCCCAACCCAAGCGCCCCGGACCCCCCGCCTGTCCTCCCCTATCGGCCGCTGGGTCATGGGTTCCCCGGGGCGGCGACTCCTGCGGGTGGCAGTGCGCCCCACCGAGGGCGCCTGGCGGAGACAGTGACCCCGCGCTCAGGGCAGAGTGATCTGGAAGACTCCCGGGAATTGCAGGAGCCCCTGGGGCCATGCTGCGCCTCATTGCAGCCTCTGATCCGGTGACGGCGCACGCTCTCCAAAGGCGCACCTCGCACCCTAGCGTGGCTACTTTGTCAAGCTCCAGCCCCCAAAGTTGGTCCGCTGCTGCCTCAGCGGCCTCTTCCCCGGCCTCATTGTTCTTCGAGTTTACTCCCTGCCCTTCTCCCTCTCTCTCCACCCCAGGAACTGGTGCGCCTACATCGTGAACAAGAACGTGAGCTGCTCGGTGCTGGAGGGAAGCGAGAGTTTTATCCAGGCTCAGTACAACTGTGCCTGGAACCAGATGCCCTGTCCGTCGGCGCTGGTGTAAGTTCTGGAGCAGAGCAGCGGGCGGGGCTCCGGGCCCGGCCTGGGCCGTGGGGGTGGGGTGGGGCTGGAGCATCTGGCGAACACCCAGCAGCAGAAAAGTTTGAGCGCTGAGTGGGACACCAACCACGCTGGGCTATTTAAGAACGTGTGCTGAACTAAGTACTGAGGATGCGCAGGATTTGGGAGTTTGTGATTGCCTAGGCAAGGAAAGGACATACAAAGCCCTCACCCACACACACATTCTCTCTCTCTCTCTCTCTTCCTCCTCTCTCTCCTCTCTCTCTCCCTCCTCAATCTCTATTTTATTACTAACATAAGGCAGCTGGATCTAATTAGATCCATATTGTCTGTTCTGGGGCACACAGAAGATTCTAAAATGTATACAGCTATAAAAACTTTTAAATGTAGGATCAGTTGAGAGATTTGGTTGACTGGTGTTCTGAGACAGTTTTGTCCCAACTGTCCCCATAAAACAGACCTCTTCAGTGTGGTAGTTTTCTAAACAGAAGCCCTCAAGGAATAATTTGCTTTAAAGTGTGCTTTTTCATTTCAAGTTAGATTTGGGGATTTGCTAAGCAGTTGTCTCTTGCTTAGAGAAAAGGGGAAGAATTAATCATCTTTTTACTTATAAAGATTTCACCATCTTAAAAAAACAAGGAGGAAGCAGTGCATGAGTGTACGAATTTGGTGAAGCACATCACACATTCACTTGTCATCAGAAACTTCTGAGTTTTTGTGTAAGTCAAATATCAGATGATGGACCGATGTGAATAAATGGCTGAAATTGTTTTCCACTAAGAATAAGTTGTTTGTCTTAGAGCACAGTTGTCATCACAGCAAAGAATAGTCAGTAGGCAGATCTGTCTTTGGCAAGTTCAAGGGACAGACCGAACTTGTCCTCCAGGGAGCCTTGTTCCAGAGGGCAGTAGATGGATGAGCCTCCAGACATGGGGTGTAGGTGGTCACCACAGCCCACACAGGTTGCCCTGGAGCTGCAAGCAGGGATGGGATAGTTCCCACTAGGCAAAAACAAAGCCAAACAAACTCACAAAAACTTAGAAGAAGAGGTCTCCACTTTCTTGTTTGTTTTGTTGTGTTTTTTGATGGCACTGGGGTTTGAACTCAGGGCCTCACCCTTGCTAGGCAGGAACTCTTACCTCTTGAGCCATTCTGCCAGCTGCAAGGTCTCTACTTTCTAATGCACGGAGGAAAGGCTGAAATTGAGTCCCTGGTTGTCACATAGAGTTGGGTAAGTTGTCATTCTACCTCCATCTAGTCAGTACAGTTTGGGCCTCACAGTCCACAGCTAGCAGCCATGGTGAGAGGCAAGTAAGATTTATACATGGTTGGTAGAGTTTTCAACACAGTTTAAATGGATTTGATTGAAATTAGAATGAAATAGGCAGGAAAATTTCAATTCATTCTATACAAGAACTATGTATTTTCATTTTAATTCATTTTATACAAGAACTATATATATATCTATTTAAATAAATAAATAGATATATATATATGACGGCACTGGGGTTTGAACTCAGTGCCTCACACCTGCAGGCATTCTTACATCTTGAGCCACTCCACCAGCCCTATATTTTCTGATTTGTTATAATCTTAATCTTTACTTTGACAACTCAGAGTTCAATACATTTTCATTTTGGGAAGTGATGCTTTTTACTTAGAAGATGATTTGTTTTTATTTTCTCAAATTATTTTAGCTGCTCATAAAACCAAATGATTTCATTGTATTCTATCAAGACTCAGTGATACGTGGTCATCAGTGGGGAGTGGGTAACCTGCAAATCAGCAGGTTAATGACAGACAGTTGGCGTGTGTTTTTGCCACCCAGTGAGAAGAACAACAGAAAAGCTATTAAAAAAAAAAAGGCAGATGTTTCTGTTGTTTTATTAAACAAAGCCAAAATTAAAATTAAGTGACCTAGTTATTTTTCATCAATAAAAATCATGTAAACAGCTCAAGTACATTTTTACATTTTTAAGTACTGCATTGTAAGTATGAAACTAAAAAAAATACAGAATGTTTTAGTGATAAACTTGAAAATCTTGAAATTAGCTTCAACAGTTAATTTAGTCTTGGCCTTTTCTTTAGGAATAGGAACGGAATGGTTTGCCTTATTTTTCAAAGATTGAATGTTTCCTAAATTTTGAGGGCTAGGAGATTTGAAGACAAAGGATAACATCCTTTCTACAATTAGAAGAGAAATGGCCATTTCGCCCAGAATTCCTCGACTGTTTTTGATGAGTTTGCCCTAACCTCTCATCACTGGTTTTGTCAGGTCATGACTTATTTCTTAGAACCAGAGACCTGTGGAAGCAAGGGGATTTTGGAAACCCACCATGGGGTTGGGGTAACTGAGGGGTCATTTCTGCCAGTGTTAGAGGTGTGGGGCTGGAGGCTACTTGAGATGGCTAGGATGGCAGGTCTGAGCCATCAGAGCACTGCTGAAATCTTAGGGGCAGTGGAAGGAAAGTGGGGAAGAGAAGCCAGACAAGGGGAAAGAGAGAGGGAGAGGGAAAGAGGAGAAGTGAGAAGGGGAAAGGGAGATGCAGAGGGAGAGGGAGAGGGAGAGGAGCAAAGACATTACAGAGACCCAGGGAAAGTCCCAGAGACTAAGGTTTCCAGAAATAGAGTGGATGAGATGTCCATAACAGTAGGATGCCGACATTGTCATTTGTGAGATTAGGGGAGTGGGTGATGAGGAAATCCACTTACACAGAAATGAACATGGTGTTTCAAACACTTGGTAGAAAAAGGGAGTTAGTAACCTTAAAGCAAAGCCAGGCATGTAATCCCAGCTCTGAGAAACTGAGGCAGGAGGATTGCGAATTTAAGACCAGCCTGGGCTACAGAGCAAGACCCTGTCTAAAACAAAAAAATTACTCAACGTCTGAGAAAATTCTGCCAATGTGGGGACAGAAGTAAATGCATGGGGAAGAAGGGGTTTGATGCAGGAAGTCATACTGACGAAAGGAGAACTGTGCCCAGCCTCAGCTTTGGGCATGCACAATCTCCTTGGGCTGTGGGGACTTTTGCATGATTTTCTGAAGGACTCAGGCAATGCCCTGTTTGCGTATATGAAGAGCCTTAGATTCCAGATTGAGAATTTTGATATCATCATGTAAGCAGGAGGTTTCCATATGCTATGTGGGCATATAAGTAATCATTTTTCTGACACTGAAAAGTGACTTCTTTGTGCCAGGCACTCTCAGGACATTTCATCCCATATATTAGTTTCTTCAGTTATTGCAGCAGTCCTGTAAGTTGGATATCAACTGAGATGAGCCATTCTGTAATTAATGACAGTGACTGAGTTGCCTTCAAATCCAAGGTTGCCAGCCCTTATGGGCTGCCCTCTGTCCCCATAGCAGTGGAGCATTTGCTTGTCCTAGTGCATGCTCTCAGGAGACAGCACAGAGCTCGACCATGGAGAACATTTCACAGCATCTTTC